CATATAGGGTTATTTCAAAATCTGACCCTCAGATCAGAAACTCTTTCTTCATTTGTTCTATTCTACTGTTGAAGCTCTCAGTCATATTTTTATATCATCAATTGAAATTTCAATCTTCAAAATTTCTGTTTGGTACTTCTTAATGATTTTTATCTCCTTTAGTGAAATTTTCATTCATGTCACCTATGGATTTCCTTATTTATTCAAGCTATCTGTATTTTATTGCACTGCATTGAGTTTCCTTACAATTATATTTTAAATTCTATTTCAGATATTTCAAATATCTTCAGATTAGGATCTAGTTCTAGAGAATTACTGTGCTCTGTAGCACAGTAATGCTATGCTGCTTTTTCATATTTCCTATGTCTCTACATTGACATCTACATATCTGGTGTGACAGTCCTATCTTCTTTACTGAGGAGGTTTTATGGGCAGAGTTTATCATTTATATAGAATGATGGTTATCACTTGATTTGTTGCTTTGGCTTTGGTTCTAGGTATAAACTCTGAGTAACCTTCAGTGTAACTTCTGAGAGATTCTTTGTTTTAATCAGTGTCAGCTGTGTGTATAAGTGGTGCTGGGGTATAGTCTACAGCAGTTTGTAAAGGTAGAAGTCAGTTTGTGATAAATGTGTGCTTCTAAGGCTATGTAACTTCAGTCCCAGTTACACCAGGGATTGTGATAGCTGTGGCCTTGTTCTTTGTGCTAAGGATATAAAGGAGGTGTTCCCTTGCCTTACTTGCAAGTCTGAGTGATGCTGGGGTTTGTGACACCAATAACTCTTTGTGACACTAATAACTGTACCTTTGTGGCTACATGACTTGGATGGGCCCTTTTCCAGGTTCTGAGGAGATAAAACAACTGGTGCTGGGGCTCATCACACCTAAAACTCTAGTCCCAGCACTGAAACATGTGAACTGAACCCTATTCCAGTCCTACAGGAGAAAGGGTAGGGCGGGAAGTATCATTATGTTCTTAAAACTGTATATATGAAATACATGAAATTTGTTCCCTCTTTATAAATAAAAAATGCTTAAAAAATTAAATTTCATGAAAGTCAAAAGCTACCAAAACCCACATAAGAAGAAATAGGTAACCTAAAATTTCCCTATGTAGGAATTTATACTCAATATAGTTAGCTGTATAGTTAATATAGTTAAATTCCGTATCTTGACTTTATAGTTAAAAATCTTCCCATTAAAAGCTACAGGCTCAGATGACTGCACTAATGAATTCTATTAATTATATAAGGGTTATATAGTATTAGTTGTAAACAAACTCTTCCAAAAATAGAAAAGACCACTTAGTCCATCATTCTACAAGGCCAGAATTACCCTTATGCCCAGACTAAAGATACAAGCACAGACCAATAATGTTCATGAACACACATAAATAATCTTAATTAAATATTAGCAAAATATTTTACAAAAATATAATAGATCACAGTCATGAGGGATGGTTATTCAGGACATGCAAGCTTAGTTCAACATCCAGAAAGAAATCAAATCAATCTATTTTTCATGCCAATAGACTGAAAGAAAAAAAACAATTATCACAATAGCTGAATAAAAAGATAGTATATATAATTCAAATTCAGTTATGATGAAGACTTGAAAGCATTATCATAGAAGGTAACGTAACCAATAAAGGGTATCTACAATAATTTTCAGGTAAAGTCATCTTTAGTGGTAACATACTAAATGATTCCCCTCTAAGACTAAAAACATTACCTGCATGTTCATGCTCATCTTTTCTTTTTAATTGGAAGTCCTAGCCAAAGTGATAAGGTCAGAAAATAAACTCTTAATATCTCCATTTATCATTCATGAAACCATAGTGAATATGACAGCTGATACATCAGGCACACATGTAGTCTTTCTTCATGTGAGGGTTACTTAGTTCTACACAATATAGAGAAGTGATAGCCAACTAGAGCTTTGTCCCAGAATGTGAAATATTGGTCAAGTGGTACAAGGAAGCTCACAAAATGTGACAATGACCCCATCATGATAAATTATTTATTAAATATTTAAGGCATAACCATTAAAATATTTTTATTTAAACTTTTACCAAAATGTAGCAATATTAATTGATTTCTGGTATCAATATCTGCCTTGGAGCATGGAAATGATCATTCTGTTTCAGACAAGCCAAAGACTTAATAATAACTGAAAATAGAGATTTAAATGCAGAAGAGTTTATTGCATTGATCCATCTTTCAGATTGAAAGGAAACTAACATATGGTGCTTTTCAATGTATGTGGTCATCAGTGGATTTTTTTCCCCATGGAACTAATATCATGTGAAACAAATAAGATCACCACACTTAGACAAATGAAAAATTTCTCTGGAATCCCACAAGAGACCTGAACTGCTATCGTCAAGGTTGTTTTCTCTTGGGTACTGACAGAGAGTAGAAGTCTTGTAGCATATAATGCCCTCAGAATCTAAAGATCATTACAATTCGGCTTGCCTGAGAACACTGCAGTGTTCCCTAAGAAAGTGATGGGTGTTCTGGTACCAGGGTGCTGGAAGAGCCAGCTTGATGCCACATCAGGCACACACATAGTCTTAGCACGCAGGACTCTCCTCTCAACTTGTTCTGCCTATCAGCTTGGAAACAGAGGGGTAATTTGTGCCCATTCACTCCTCCTAGGTTTAGGGAGCGGGTTCCTCATATCTACTCAACACCTGAATCTTTTTTTTCTGCTTCTTCTTATTGTAGAATCAGTGAAGAGTTTCTTTTCACACCTCAACCCATCAGAAGCCACTGCACCAAGGTGAGTGCCCCTTTTCAGAACATGACTTTCTAACCATGCAAGCAGCACTCTTCAAGGCCTCTAAATCTGAATGCTTAATGCCCTTTCATTCTGCCCACTCTCTATTCCCAGTAATCAGTATGGCTGACAGTATCTGAAATCAAAATGCAGCTGGTTATGCAATGAGCTAAGGAAACAGTCTCCTCCTGTTGTTTTTAACAGACTTTTCCTGGTGTTGGAGCAGAAACAAATGCCCCGAAGTGTGATCCCGGCCATTAGGTCCATTCCATGTCCCCTGACAGGCCCATACTGCACACTGCACATCTCCTGCTTGTGGTTGCAGCACAAAAGTGGCTCCTTCTTGGTGGGGAAGGAGGTTGCATTTTCATTAAATTTAAATTACTTGGAACCTAATTTGTACAGAATCCAAAACAAACTAGAGGAAAGTGCACACATAGCAGGTGCCAGAATGGAGAGAAGATGAGATGTTTGATTCTAGATCAATGGTAACATCTGTCATGATGTAGCATATTTTTTGAGTACTCTGAAATTGAATAAAAGCTATTATGGGTAAAAATAGGTCTACAGATTTTATAGTAAAATAATAAGGTAGCAACACCATATTGTCTTCCATTAGCATGCAGTAGAACTTTCAGTTAGTTAATGAGAAATAGGGAAGTCTTTTTTTTTTTTTTTTTTGACGGAGAAGTTGTATACATTCCCCTAGAAGTACAAAGTTGCTTGTGTGAGCAGGTACAGCTAAAAATTTTCATCTTTGTGTCTTTAACAAATCTTATTAGCTGCAGTGATTTTTCTCTTTTTGTGTGTGTTTTTAAGAGTCTGCTAAGAAGGGATCTTCCAACTGGTCTACCAATTTCTGACTTGGCAACCCTATACATTCCAAAACAATTCTTCCACATCAAAAGCTAGGGTACAATAGTACAATATGAGTATGTTATTATCTGGTCTTGATAATTTATATTCTCTCTCTCCCTTCTCCTTTCTCTCCTAATCCATCACTTTTCTACTCATTCACTCACTCATAATTTGCTAACTTGCATGGCAGCTGGGCCATAGTGTGTTGCTTCCCTGAAACAGCCAAGCAGTTTCAGATCTCCTTGCCTTGGTCCATCTTCCTAAATCATCTCTTCTTCTCTATTTATATTTCAAAACTTAGTCACTGGCTATCTCTTCTCTGATATACATACTAAGATATCAAGCATTTCTATGTATTCATTTCTGTTTTGTGCACTAGACTGAATCGTACTTTCATTATACTGTATTGTTTTTAAATTTGATTTAATCTCTAATAGCTTGTGACTGGAAAAAAATTTTCAGTAGGATTAGATAACACTTCCTAAAGGTTTCAAGAATTTTAAATGTATAAAAGTGGTGGCAAATCCAAGCACTGGCCAACTACCTCATCTGGGAGTGATTCAGTCTTCTGTTTAAAGGCCTGCCTCTGCAGGCAGAAAGCCCTAGGTCTTAGAATAATCCTGACTTCATCATTCTCTGATTTGGAAATCTTAATCTATCTAAACCACAGGGTCGTCTGTGAAATGAGATTCATAATGTCTCACTAGTTTTATTTTGTGAATTAAATGCCATATTTTATGTAAGGTACTTAGCAAGCTTCCTAGCACCAAGTAAGTACTCATATTACAAGGAAATATTTTGGACTGCTAAAATCTAATCAAATCATAACCTACCAAATTCTTAACAATTTCTCTCTTCAACTGTGAGGAAAATGCCTGCAAGCATCCCAAGTTTTCCTCTCTAAGTAAATGGCAGCACTCGTGTGTAATAAGTATTCATTCAAAATTTCTCCTTCATTCTTTCTCCCTTTGCCTTCAACTACTGTTAAAAGATTCTGCTTCTTAAGTGTATCTTAAACCCAGCCACTTCTCTAAACCACAGTGTTCACAGTCACTGTCACCTTCCCTGCAAAGCCTCCAGTTAGTCTCCCGTTATTCTTGCCTGCCTAGAGTCCATTTTGAAATGATAAAGTTATTTTTCCATATCATCAAGTCATAACAGGCCCCACTAACATTTAATCCTCTAATTGCTTCCCCTGTGTTCACACCAGTTCACTATCTAATCTATATGTCATTAATAAATAACACCTGTTACTGTTATTGATCGCCAGAGAAGGTAAAGACAAAATATTTTCACTGGACCAGAGTCTGATCAAGTGATTTTGTTTTTTCCCCCCTAGGAGATCCAAGCCCTGTGTCTCCAACATGGAAGTGGAGAATCAGACACGGGTCACCAAGTTCATTCTAGTGGGGTTCCCTGGGAACTTGAGCATGCGTGCAGCAGTGTTCCTGATGTTCCTTATGGCTTATATCCTGACAATGACTGAAAATGTGATCATCATCCTGTTGGTGCAGCAGAACAGGCCACTGCACAAGCCCATGTACTTCTTCCTGGCCAACCTATCCTTTCTGGAGACCTGGTACATCTCTGTGACTGTGCCTAAGCTGTTGTTTAGTTTTTGGTCCATGAGCAACAGCATCTCATTCACTCACTGTATGATCCAACTCTATTTCTTCATAGCACTCATGTGCACAGAATGTGTGCTCCTGGCTGCCATGGCCTATGACCGTTATGTGGCTATCTGCCGCCCACTCCACTACCCCACTATCATGAGTCATGGGCTCTGCTTCCGCCTGGCTCTGGGTTCCTGGACCATTGGCTTCGGCATCTCCTTGGCAAAAATCTACTTCATTTCCCGCCTCAGTTTCTGTGGCCCTAATGTCATCAATCATTTCTTCTGTGACATCTCTCCAGTACTTAACCTCTCCTGCACAGATATGTCCATGGCTGAGTTGGTAGACTTTGTCTTGGCACTGATCATCTTTCTCTTCCCACTCTCTATCACTGTCCTGTCCTATGGGTGTATTCTGGCCACTGTTTTACGTATGCCCACAGGAAAACAGAAAGCCTTTTCTACTTGTGCCTCCCACCTTGTGGTGGTCACTATCTTCTATTCAGCCACAATTTTCATGTATGCCCGACCCCGAGCCATCCATGCTTTCAACATGAACAAAATTATTTCCATCTTTTATGCCATTGTCACCCCTGCTCTCAACCCTTTCATTTATTGCCTAAGGAATCGAGAGGTCAAGGAAGCTCTGAAGAAACTGGCCCATTGCCAGACCATCAGATCTGACTAGTCTATTACAATTGACCAGAAGGAAAGGACTATTGACTGCTTGGTCTACCTTCCTAAATCCTTCTTATTCAATGCTTCAGCTGCACATTACTCATGTTCACAGCACATTCCTATGTTCACATAGATCACGAGCTCTTGGAGGTGGGCATCTCTGCAGGTGGTCAGTGCTCCAAAGGCACACTCCTTATGCAGAGAACTAGAGGAAATAAATTCTCTTCATGACACAAAATGGACTTTCTAAAACTGTGAGCAAATTCATATGTGAACTGAGTGAGAAGAGAGATGGTGGTATATGAATTAGCTGTTGTTGGATCTAGCAAACATTAACAACCCTGGGACCAGCCGATTTTGTGATGGTTTCCTTATTTCCAATCTCACTGACTGTAACAGAGGCAGCAGTTCTTTCGGCAATTCCATTCTCATTGTTGTGCAGGGCATTGGTCTTGGTGAGAGCAACCAGAGATTGCTCCTTTGGTCTCTCCAAGACTTTTGCATACACCTACTTACTTGTATTAAATTTCTTTCTGCTTCAAATAGAGTGTTTTCTTTCACATGTGAGTGAATTGTACTTTATACGGTTATGTTTTGTCTTCTGATGTAACTAGAAAATTTTTTACTTTATTGAATTTGGTATTTCCCTTCTAGATGTCACAATTTGTTACTATGCTCTAGTAGGTAAAGCATAAAATTGATGATAAATAACTATCACCATTTGCTAAATGAAACTTGCCCTCATCTTTCCTCTTTTCTTTTAATATTAACTTTCTCTCATTGCTCTTCAATTTTTCTTTAACTGATCCTGTCACTCATTCTCTACACACTCATCTTGATGCAAGAAACCAGCCCAATCTTAGCATTTGACAGATTTTCATCCCATGCTATGGCGATTCTGCACTCTTTACCTGAGATCCTACTAATGTACATTAGACCATTCCAATCAGATATGACCATTCTCTCACATATGCCTGCCACTTTGGTTCATAGTTTTACCAATGGCATAGGGAGCTACACGTTGATCTGTATTCAATACTACATGCCAATATCAGTAGGAATTTAATTATTTCATTAGAGTAGTTGTAAAACAGAACTTCTTGCACTTACAGAGTCTTTCATCCAAGAACAAACTATAAATTCAAGAATATTTCATCTTTTCTTTCAGCAAGAAGTATTAGGTGGGATAATTTTCTCCATTTTACAAATTTCAAGAGCAGATGTTCAAAGAAGTAACTGATATGCAACAACAGTGAGGAGCAGAGGTCAAAAGCCCAGGTTTCCTGACTGAGATCTGGCTCCTTTTTCTAATGGATGACATCTCCCTAGAGAGAAACATACTTCTTCAGGAGCCAAGTGTGGAAGCTAATTGTAAAGGGATGTGGTTTAAATTATGAATTACTATAATAGGAACACAGTTAATAAAACAAAAATAGACAAATTTAAAGTATATAGTTCATGAGAAAAGAAATTTAAAAATAAGCATAGCTCACTTGAGAGGATAACTGTACAAAAGAACTGAAATGATGCTTACAATGGGAACAATTTAATGTTTGCTTATACATCATATTTTGGTCTCTTAATGCAATAAAGAAGTGACTACCAATATATTTCCATTTAAAACCAGATGTAACTAAAATGAATTCTTTTCTGAAAAAATCAGATAAATCAAAATCTGATGGCATGGTCAAGCAGGACTATTAAATATGCACATTAAAAACAGGTAAAGATACATTCTTTAGGGATGAGGAAATATAAGATAAAGAACTACAGCCACAATCTGAATTTTAGCTATAGATATATTTTTACCATGTGACCTTGGGCAAACCATCCATACTTTCTGAAATATAGATTCTTCATATGTAAAATAGGAATAATAATTCTTACTCTGTCAGCCTTACATAATGGTTATGAGGATCAACTACTATGATGCAAAATACCTTGACTATTAAAAATGTGGGGCAGTAAACAATCTAAGAAAGCTGCCACTCTGTTAGATTATACTGAAAACCAGTGGGGAAGATGGTGTTCTGTAGACTACCTAAAACTATTCCACACTGACTGGACTCCATGTGTATAATCTATAAATTATATAAATACTATAAGGGGTTTTTGTGTCATTATTTCTCACAAATGTCTGGATAATGGAGGGTGTTGAAACAGGGTCTCTTGATCAATGCTATCAAATTATGTTTGAAATAACAGAAGAGAATCAGCAATGCAGCACTGACTTCTTTGAGAAAGGAATATAAGTACATAGGCTAAACAAACAGAACAAACAGATCACAGCAAAATGAGAATCATTCTCAATAGACAGAAGATACTTTATCAGGTTAATGGTTATGTTCATATACAAACAAGTTATTTGTAAGGTGAGATGCATAAAACAAGCAAGAATATTAGAACAAACTAGTGGACATTAAGTGAATTATGATACAAGCCTAGTGGTTAGTTTTAGTATGTTACCCAGACTCTAAGCCCTAAGGATTTGGCTATCAATCAAACTCATAAGAAAGTTCATAAAATAAAATAAATTAATATTGTTATTAATTATACAGACAGTATATATTTGTCACTATATTAATTCAATTAATATTTATTAACCACCTACTGTATATCTACATATAATAACAAAACCCCAAAACTTGGTACCCTCAGGGATAGAAAAAGGTAGCAGATAACATGTTTATAGTCATATAATATACACATACATATTGCATTGTGTAGAAATGAGGCTCCTAAAAGGATTTGCTCACATCCTCAACCTGAAACTCGTGTTTGTGAACTTATTTGGAAAGAGGATATTTGAAGTGTAATAAACTCATACATCTCAAAATTAGATTATCTCTATGGGATGTAAGTACATGTCCTTTCAATGAGAAAGTTGAGAAGAAGACAAAGGAAAAAGCCATTTCAATTCTAATTCCATTCTGAAGATGGAATTAGAAATCCAGGCTAAGGAACAAGTAGCTGGTATATTTGTGTTTTGCTAAGCCAACAAAATTATAATTTATTAGGGAAGCCCTGGAAAACTAATAGAGTAATTCTAGTAGCAATAAGCATTATGGAAAAAAACACCATGGAAAGTGATAGGGAAAGTGATGGGAATGATTTCAAATTTCCTATAAGATGGTCACAGAGCTCTCACAGAGAAAGTGGCAGTGGAGTAAACACAGGAGAAGCTGAGGGAGCAGGACATGCCGCTACTTGGGGAAAGAATTCTCAAGAAAGTAGAAACAGCATGTGCAAATCTGAGACCCTATCTTTCATGCCTGAGGAACATGGAAGAAGCCAGTGTGGCTGGAGTCATGAGTTAAGGGGAAGCAGAGTTGGATACATGAGGCTAGACTATGCTGGATCCCATAGCCCATTGTAAGAGTCTTAGGTTTTTCTCTGAGTGAGATGGGAAAACACGGGAAGGTTTTGAGAAGAGGAATAACATGATCTCACTGAGTTAAAACTCAATTGGGGGACCAGCACTGTAACATAGCAGGTAAAGCTGCTGCCTGCAATGCAAGGATACAATATGGGCAGCAGTTTGTGTCCTGCTTGATCCACTTTTGATCTAGCTCCCTGTTAGGGGCCTGGGGAAAGCAACGGAAGATGGCCCAAATGTTTGGGCACCTGCCATCCAAGTGGGAGACTTGGGTGAAGCTCCTAGGTCCTATCTTCAGCTTGGCCCAGCCTGGTTCTTGTGGCTATCTACAGAGTAAGCCAGTAGATGGAAGACTTTCTCTCTCTCTCTCTCTCTCTCTCATTCACCCACTCTGACTTTCAAATAAATAAATAAATCTTTTTTTAAAAAATAATTATTCTTTGGATGGACATTGGGTGCAGTGCTTAAGATGGTGCGTTGGACAACAACATTCCAAATTCACATGTTTGGGTTTGAGTTCTGCTTCCCATTATGATCCCTGCTTCCTGCTAATCAAACCCTGGGAAAGAGCAGGTGATAGATCAAGTTTCTGGGTCCCTGCTACCCACAGTGGAGACCTGGATTGAGTTTTTGGCTTCTGGATTCAGCCTGGCCTGGCTCCACTGTTGCAGGAATTTGGGAGGTAAACCAGTGGATGGAAAATCTTTCAGTGTCTTTCCATCTCTGTCTCTCTGTCTTCAAATAAATTAAAAAATTAAAAATTGAAAATAAAGCAATGGGATCACCCTTTTTGTAGAAGGACAGCAGACTCTCATAAGGCAAGTGCAAGAGGATACTGAGGAGTCTATTAAAATAGTCCAGATGATACAGTGGTGAATCAGACCAGAACAGTGGTGAAATGAGGAGGTGGGGTTGGTTGTTTCTAGATTTATTTTGAAGATAGAGACAGTACAATGTATATATTCATGTGTGTGTAGACCAGTTTGATGGAATATTTGTAGGCATGTTTTGGGAAGAGCTCTCATCAGTTAGCTTTTGTTCCATAACAAGCCACACCAAAAGTTAGTGGCTTAAAACATCAATGGTTTGTTTAGTTTCAAGACTGCAGACGGGGCCAGCACCATGGCACAATAGGTTAATCATTCGCCTGCGGCGCTGGCATCCCAGATGGGATGCTCCTCTTCCAATCCAGCTCTTTGCTGTGGCCTGTGAAAGCAGTGAAGGATGGCCTGAGTTCTTGGGCCCCTGCATCCGCATGGGACACCAGGAAGCAGCTCCTGGCTCCTGGATTCAGATCAGCACAGCTCTGGCCGTTGCAGCTATTTGGGGAGTGAACCAACGGAAGGAAGACCTTTCTCTCTGTCTCTGCCTCTCACTGTAACTCTACCTCTCAAATAAATAAATTAAAAAATCTTAAAAAATACTGCAGACTGGATAAATTTTCTGCTTATTTTGTCTGAGTTTACTCATGCAACTATAGTTGACTAGCAGATGGCAAGGAACTTTCTCTCCATAAGACCTCTTTCCCTCCATCATGCAAGTCTGACTTTGTCATTTGGAAGCTGTCTTCCAAGGAAGACAGGACGTATTTTCAAAACTTCTTAAGGCCTAGATTTAGAGTTCATATACTATTGGTCAAATAAAACTGATATTCAAGATGTAGACTTCATATCTTTAAATGCAAGAGACACAAAGAATTGGGACCTCTCTGTTGGTGTAACCATATGCTTTCCTCCAAAAACGAAATTTTAAAATGAATCTTTCTAAATCATTTTCCCCACTGTTTTCTGGATACTGGTAACTGACACAACTCATTCATATATGTCACTATGAATATTTATTAAAGATAACTGCAGCTCTGAAAATCAAAATATCCATAACACTTATGTAAGAAGAATATAAGACAAGAGGAGGAAAACAGAAAGGGTATTTTTAGCTTTTAAAATTATTTCATTGGAGAGGAGCTCAAGATGGTAGTATAGCAACAGAACAATCTGAGTCACATGGGGCAAAATAGATAGTTGAAAAGGAGCGATGACACAAGCAGAATACAGAGCCCTTTTCATACAGGGGGGCTCAGGAGTACAACAGAGACTGGGCAAGTCCACGCTGAAGGAGCAAATAAGAAAGGGAAGTGGCAGAGGTGCAGCAGAGTCGCAGCGGGGATGCAGAACGGGGAGGCTGGTGCCACACCCCCACTTCCCCTCCCAGCAGACCAGGTTACCTGGGAAATCGCAAGCCTCACAGCAGGAGGGAGGGCTTGGGGAACTGTGCTTGAAGTTCCAAGCAGGAAGAGAGAGAAGGTATAGCAGAACAAACAGAGAGGTCAGGCACGCCTTGTCCAACTATGTCTCCCCTCTCCCTGCAACTGGACCTGTAGCCAGCTGGGAGAAGCCATATTGATTGTTTACATTTTTGAATGTAAGCAGGGGCTACTGCATTTGCCTCAAAGGCACACACCCATCAATAGCAGGGGCCACCTCACCACACCCCCAACTTGGGAAAAAGAACCACAACATTTCAGTGTAATTTCCTACCCACCATCCACGCTGTACAACAAGGAGAAGACCTGAGTATCAAAAACTCGAGCTCATTTCACACACCAGTGGGAAGCAAGCTGGGCCCCAGTAGTGCACCAGAGCTCATACGCAACCCCATTGTGATTGAGAAGTGAACTGGACTCCAGGAGGCAGGGCTGTGTGCTTTCACTTGCAATGTACAGACACATAGCAGCTCATAGCAGAGGGAAATCTCACCACAAGCACAAAGACACAAGTTAAAGAGAAAAACAAACAGACCAAAAAATACACAAATGCCAAAAAACAAAGGAAAGACCCTAAATAAGAATAAGGAAGACACTATGAGCCCTTCAAAGGAACACTAGACCTCTTCAATACTAGAAAGTGAAGAAGAAAACATCGAGGATATGCCAAAAATGGAATTCAGAAAATTAATCATCAGATTACTTAGAAGCAATCAGAAGCAAATTCACATTCTAAATGAAAAGTACTCCCAAGAAATTGAGATATTAAAGAGAAGTTAGAATGAAATATTAGAAATGAAGAATTCAATAGATCAAACAAAAAATGCAGTGAAAAGCCTTAACAACACAATAGGTGAGAAAGGAGAAAGAGTATCAGAACTAGAATACAAATTTCTGGAAATATTACAGTCAGACCAAATAAAAGAAGAAGAAATCAGAAAATTAAAAAACACAGTGTAGATCTACAAGATTCTGTCAAATGACCCAACATACAAATCCTAGGAAGGTGTGGAGAGAACGGATTAGAAGGCCTTCCTAATGAAATAATAACAGAAAACTTCCCCAATCTGGAGAAAGAGACATCCAAGTACAGGAAGTACACAGAACTCCCAAGAGACACGATCAGAAAAGATCTTCACCACGACACACTGTAGTAAAACTCTCCACAGTAAAACATAAGGAAAATATCTTAAAATGTGCATGAGAGAATCCCAAACCACATTCAGAGGAAATCCAATTAGACTCACTGCAGAATTCTCATCAGACACTCTATAGGCAAGAAGAGAACGGTGAGATATATTCCAAGTCCTAAGAGAAAAAAACTATCAACCCAGAATACTGTACCCTGCAAAGCTCTCATTTATGATGAATAAATAAGGATCTTCGATAACAAACAGAAATTGAAAGAATTTGTGACTACTTGCCCAGCCCTATAAAATATGCGCAAGGATGTGCTACAAACAGAAATACAGAAACAGATACATCACTACAAAAGAAGATGAATGCAGAAAATGATGCAGCAAAAGTACAAAGGAAATCCAAAACACAAAAAGAGGACTATTTATACAGAAACATGGCAGGGCAAAGCCAGTACTTAACAATAGTCACCCTAAATGTAAAAGGTCTCAACTCCCCAGTAAAAAGACACAGACTGGCTGAGTGGATTAAAAAAAACATCTATTTGCTGCCTACAAGAAATCCATCCTACCGACAAAGATGCAAACAGGCTGAAAGTCAAAGAATGGAAAAATATATTCCATGCTAACAGAAATCAAAAAAGAGCTGGTGTGCCCATCCTAATATCAGATAAAATAGACTTTAACACAAAAACTATTAAAAGAGACAAAGAAGGACATTATATAATGATTAAAGGATGAATTCAACAGGAAGATGTGACTAATAAATGTATATTCACATAATTACAGGGCAACTGGCTATTTAAAAGATATTTTAAGGGATTTAAAGTGAGAATTACAAAACATTAAAGAAAACAATAGAACAAGATACAAAAAATGGAAAAAAAATTCCATGTTCATTGATTGGAAGAATCAATATCATCAAAATGTCCATTCTTCTGAAAGCAATTTACAGATTCAATGAAATAGCAAATATCAAAGACATTCTTCTCAGATCTAGAAAAAATGATGCTGAAATTCATTTTGAAACAAAGGAAACCCCAAATAGCTAAAGCAATCTTATACAACAAAAACAAAGCCAGAGGCATCATAGTACCAAATTTCAAGATGTACTACAAGACAGTTATAATCAAAACATCCTGATACTGGGTACAAAAACAGATGCATAGAGCAATGGAACAGAATAGAAATGCCAGAAATCAATCTAAGCATCTACAATGAACTTACATTTGACCAATGAGCTAAAACCAATCCCTGGAGCAATGGCAATCTCTTCAACAAATGGTGCTGTGTAAACTGGATTTCCACATGCAGAAGTATGAAGCAGGAACCTTGCCTTACACCTTACACAAAAATCCATTCAAAATGGATTAAAGATCTAAACCTGATACCGTCATATTATTAGAGAGCATTCGGGAAACCCTGCAAGACACTGGCTTAGGCAAACAGTTCCTAGAAAGGACCTCAGAGGCACAGGCAATCAAATCTAAAATTAACAAATCGGATTACATCAAATTGAGAAGCTTCTGTACTGCAAAAGAAAAAGTGGAAAAGTTATGAAAATGAAGTGGCAACTGACAGAATTGGATAAATTTTTTTTAAACCATGCCACTGATAAGGGATTAATAACCAGAATATATAAAGAGATCAATAACAACAAGACAAACAATCCAGTTAAGAAATGGGCAAAGGACTTAAACGGACATTTTCCACATGAGGAAGTCCAAATGGCCAACAGACACATGAAAAAATGCTCAGGATCACTAGCCATCAGGGAAATGCAGATCAAAACCATAATGAGGTTTCACCTCACCCTAGTAAGAATGGCTTTCATACAGAAATCAACGAACAACAAATTCTGGTGAGGATGTGGGGAGAAAGGTACCAAATCCATTGTTGGTGGGAATGATATTATACGGCATTGGGGTTATTGTTGGTATGCTATTAGTGTGCTGAGCATTATTGTTGATGAAGATATCTATGGAAGTTACCCTGTGTTCAGAAAAGTAGTTTGAGATCCAGCATCACAGGTTGCTTTCTACTCAAGATGTCTAAATCAGGAACCAAGAAGAGCTAAACCATAGTTAAAAGAGTCACTGTATCAGATAGCCACTTCTTTAATCATCTCTACCAGGAAGGCACTAGTAGACTATATCCTACCTAGAAAACACTGTAGGAACCTGAGATATTGTTGGTCCCATTTCTTGTTTTTTGAAACCAAGAGTGTAGGATTAG